TATTGCTGAAATATTTGGAAGTCTGAAACTTTCCTAAAATAATTCCATTCGGTTCCCAGTATAAAAGGATCATCTTCCATCAACCCTAGAGCTTTTATTTTCCAAGATTTTGGCATTGGAAGGCAAAGGAAGAGCAAAAACCAAGAGGATCAACTTCAAGATTTACAATTGGCTTTGGAGTAGAGAATTGGCTAGGAAGATTAAGAAGAATTCTTTCCCTCTTTCTCTTGTTCCTATTGTTGTTTGTTTATCTTTCAAGATTGTATTGATTGCTATTATGACCATAAGTGGCTAAAAACCCTTAGGGATTTTTGGGTGAATTTGTTTATGAACCTATGAGCGTAGTACTTTAATTCTTTAATATATTTACGTTTGGTTTTATGATTTGTGTTGCAATCTTGTTTTAATCTGTTGTTGCTAGTAATTAAAGGCTTAAATTACTTGCTTCATAGCCATGTTCATGTCAAAACAAGAGTTATGCATAAATTAGGGCACACGCGGTTGCACTTGACTTTTGCATCTTGAGAAAGGGCAAATTAGTTGGGGAATTTATTCTAGATTGTTGCACATCGAGAGATGGTAGTAATTGGGAGTTAATGAATGTTGTTCTTCGTTCTTATTGAGTGTTTAAGCCACGAGAGTGGAAATTCACTAGGGATAGAGATTACGGGAGTAATTCAATTCCACCTTGCATTCTCACACTAGTCCTAATTCCAAACTAAATATTACAACTTTGATTGGCATTAGGTGATTAAACATTGTGATCCCAACAATCCTGCTTTGCTCTATTGCTTACAACACCTTGTTAATTAGTTTATTCTGTCTTTTATTTTCTACAATTATCAAAACTTCAAGTTTCGTTCAGATTAGTTCCATATGAGTAACCAAGTAGCTAGTGCTTAGTACCCCACTTCCTTGTGGATCGATAACCCGAATACTCCGGGTATTATTTGTTTGCCTAAATTACGGCAATCAACCAGACAGGTTCCCGGAACTAGCTAATGGCCCTAGTCACGGACCGCTTGCTAGTCCCATGGAGAGCCGGTCCTTGGACACGGTTCTCATCTAGAACCGTTGCCCAAGGCCGCCGCTTGGCGGAACCAAGCGGCGGGGCTCCTCAAGCCCCGCCACCAAGCTCCGCCAGGCCAAAAAGAAGTTTGTCCGGTCCCTCTGTGGCTCAGCTACGTGTTGATCGGACCGGGAGTCGTGGTCCCTTAAGGTTCGGACACTCGGGTTCATTACGACGCACTAGTAGGAGTTGATTTCGTTGATTTTGGAGTTGAAATGCTTGTTTTACAGTAGTTTTTGTGTTGATAAGTGTGTTTGAAGTATTCTGTAAATGATTTACAGTGAAGAAAAGTTGAAGAGTTTGAGCTTAACTATTTGAATGAAAAGCATGATCATTATTTGTTAAGTTTTGCTTGAATAGCATGTCTAAATATCCATTGTAAGTTATTGAGAATTTTGTCAAGAATATGAGATATTTGGTTTGTACAGTACATGAACTTAATTGTTTACAGTGAAGTGAAATTCTAGAGCATGATGTTTATTTTTGAGTTCAAAGAGCATGATCAATACTTGTTAAGTATTTGCTAAGAAGTTTTGCTAAGTATTAAGTGATAAGCATGAAGTAGCACTTTGTTGGCTTAAATCACAGTGAAAGAGAAGTTAAAGCATTAAAGCATTCTTTACAGTAAAGAGCATGTTTAACATATCATGAACTAAAGTGAATTAGTGGCTTTAAGTAAGCCTAAGATCCATATCAAAAATCTATATCTATTTTGGAAAATCATTATCTAGTTGCATTGAGAAGTTGCATGATATTTGATTTCCAATTTGTGAGAAAAGAGAATTATTGAGAAACTATGTGCATGAGATTGTACAAATAGATTTGTTGCATAAGAAAGAAGTGCATGAGTTATATCTATATGTATCTAGTGTGAGTAATCCGATATTTTGGAGGCCCGTTAGGACTATGTCCTTTCGAAAGAAAAGAGAAAGAAAGAAAGTTAAGAAAGAAACGGACCATTGCAATCCGATGTGAAGTAACGTGGTCGATATTCCCGAGTTACTAGGTTGGAAACCACCCGCCGGGCTTGGAATCCCGGTCAGGGGGTGTGCACATTGACAAGTACGATACCTGATTCCACAGAGTTTGAGAAAAGAACCAAGAGAGTGGTTCTGTGGGCGAGATGAGTATTAGGCCGGCTAGATGCCGAGCCTAGATAGGTCCGTTCACATTATGGTGAAGTTCCTACCTCGTCCACAAGTAAAAGAAAGAAAGAAAGAAAGCGAGTCAAGAGACTTAAGTGAAAGAAGAGCAAAGCGAGTCATTGTGAGTCTATAGAAATCTCCACAGAACAAGTGTTCCTTGTTACAAAGGCATAAAGAAAGGCTTATGAAAGGACATGATAAATGCTGAAAAACTACAACATCTTCTCAAAGCTATAACTTCCTAGAGTAGAGTAAATATGACTCTATTATCCAACAATTGTCTATTTCCAACAAACGGCATCCATGGCTTCTTGCTGTCAGGTTTGGTTCTAAGAATATCATATATTGCAGAGGCGGATGTTGAGGCTGGACGGGATCGCCATGCAACGGTCGTTCGAGTTGCTAGGTAAGATTCTTGAGCCTGAGCATGCCAACTCCGACGGGAGCTTCAAGGAGGAAGATGATGATGCTTTGTTGTTGGTGTTGTTGTTGTTTTCTTAAACCCACTAACTTGTAGCCACCATTCACCTGTGCGGAGTGGTGTTTGACAGAAGAAATTCTCCATTTCTAATGGTTATGAGACACGACTTTTTGTCAGATCCCTAAGAACGACGCCATTTGATAAAATAAATTCTTGTTAAGTTGTCATTTACTGTATTTTGTATGTATAGAATGTGTATGAAAATATATGAAGATGAGAGAAAATTGGCTCAAAGAGGTTTTCTCATTCAATGTTGTAGTGAGAGTTAATGGATTGTGTGGACGGGATCCCCCCCCCCCCCTTCCAATGAAGGGTTAGGGGCCCTTATATAGGTGCATTTTTCGAGAATAAAATATGGGAATACCCTGAGAATAATCCCTGTCAAAAAAATATTTGTATTCTAATACTCTAAGTCTCCAACACAATTCTAATTAAGAAAAAGGGTCGAATACAACCTCAAACTTTACTCGAAAGTGCAATTAGGTTCCCAAACTTTTGAAAGGTGCAATTATGCACTTCAACTTATTAAAATCAGTCAAATAAGTCCAATTTACCTTTGGTTACAGGAAAAAATGTCGTCGTTGACCGCCATCGTTTATTGTTGATTTCCATTGTTGATAATAACGGGGAAAAACCTATGATCACCGATCCATTGGAGATAGTCAAAACCTTAGCAACCTGATATTATAGGTCACTAACTTGTTTTTGGGTTCCGATGCACTAAATTATGTTTGGTTCATGGCTTCATGCAGAGAAAAAAAAGTTTGTAGAGAAAGTTGGAAAGTTTGGAGTTGAAGTATCGGATTTCAACTATTTATATTTGTAAAGGAAAAGTCTACAGAAATCTTAATTTGGTAGAGTCTATAAATGTTAATAAGTTTTTGAATACGACTTTTAAAAAACTCTATAAAAGTCTGAATCGAATACCACTATACCAGTATACTTCTAAAGACTTTTTAAAAGTCTGAATTAAATACTGGCAGACTTGAGTCTTTCAAAGTCGAGATCGAATACCACCAAACTTTTAAATTTGTTAAAAGTTTATAAAAATCTTTATTGAATACACCCCCCGCCCTCCAAAGTTTGGGCCAAGATCACTCAATCTCTTATCTCTTATCTCTTATCTCTTATTATAATAAAACCAGGGGATTTGGTCTTTGCTCCATTTTCCCAGTTTCAAATTTTAATTTCTAATTATTTTTTTAGTGTAGAATTGATTGCATGAGTAATAACCAGTGTTGCAAAAATCGCGTCTAGGCGCCGATTAGGCGCTAGGTAGCCCTCGGCCGCCGCGAGGAAGGCTGGAATCAGCCTCCTCCACGGCGGGCCGGTTAGGCGGCCACCTAGCCGACCGGTTCGGCCGATATCTTTTTTTTTTTTTTGGTTTATGGTTTAAAACTTTGTCAAGGCATAACTTTTGACTCGGTTGTACGTTTTGCCCCACTAATTTCTCAAAAAATGCTTCTTTAGCTCTTAATTTTAATTTTTTATGTATTTAGATGGTTTAAACAATCTTTTGAACAATTTTACAACCACTTACGTAAATAGTTTGTAAAAAATAACTATGGGAACCTTATGTTTTATTACTGAATTTTGATAATTTTTAATTTTTAATTATTTTTAATTAAAAAAAAATAAAAAATAAAAAATCGACACCTAGGCGATCCCTTGGCATCTAACGTGTTTTGCAACATTGGTAATAACAAAGTTTTTTTTTTCTTTGAATAGGTGTTATGTTGGGTTTGGAGATTTTGGTTTTCAATGTTTTTGGATATGATGATACGTGTCAACCATTTGGATCAGATTATAATCATTCAACCTTTTTGAATACTTATTTTTTATTGGTATAATTTATTTTACATATTAATTTTGGCTTTGTGATAAACCCTGCTAACAGAAGTAAAGTCTATTTAAAGGTTGTAATGATTCACGTTACTTAGTAGCCTAATCCTAATTGTTTTCTTTTTTATGGCTATATTTAATGCCATTGGTGTAATTCTTATCATCTATATTTAATGTTGTTCTTGGGAATGGATTAGTTTTCCTTAGGTCTTTTTACCTTCCATGGTATTAGCTACAATGTGATGATTATTTGTGCAGTATTTATTCTACTTTATATATATATATATATATATATATATATATATATATATATATATATATATATATATATATATATATATATATATAAAAATTACAGCTCCCTGAGATCTAGGGCTTCACGCTGGTTCTCCCTGGTTTCTAGGGTTTCGGCGAGTCACGGCGAATTCTTGCAAACAACCAAACGGACAGCATCCGGTCAGCGATGGAGGTGCGTGAGATAATACAATCAACAGAAGACATTCATCTGCATGATGATGAGGAGGGAATACGATTTGAAGAGGAGGTCTACGGAACTGCAGCGCTGCCGCCCCCTGTGCGTAATACATGGACGCTGGTCGGGAGATTCCTAACGGATCGAATGATGAAAGTGGAGATGATGAAGAGGGTGATGGCTTCGGCTTGGCGTCCTCTCATGGGAATAGAGATAACAGATGTACTCCCGAACCTGTATCTCTTCACTTTTTTTGATGAAACTGATATGCGCCGGGTGTTGGAGGAGGGGCCCTGGGCGTTTGAGAACACGACGCTTGTGTGTCAAGTTCTGGAAGATGGAGTCGATCCAACGCAGGTGGTATTGAACACAATGGACTTCTGGCTACAGATTTATGATATCCCGTTGGGATACCGTACGGTGAAGGTACTTGAAAGGATTGGAGATTTTGCGAGGGTGTTTTTGCGGTATGATGAACGTAACTTTGGGAGATCATGGACTTCGTTTTACCGGATACGTATAACGCATGATGTAACGGTACCATTGAAACGCCGTATGAAGATGATCATGCGAGATGGAACATGGACGTGGGTAAATTTCAAGTACGAGCGCCTGCATATGTTTTGTTTCTTTTGTGGAATAATGGGGCATACTGATAAGTTTTGTTTAGCTGCTCGGCGTTCTTTGTTGTCTCCGGATCAGTACATGTTTGGTGCGACAATGAGGGCGGGTGGACATAGTCCAGCCAAGTTGATAGGAGATAAGTGGTTCAAATTGGGACAAGAAAGGAGGAAGGAAATTGGTTTTGGTATGAGGGGGAACGGGCAGGCTCGTATGGCTGGAGAGAGGGCGGTGGTGGCCTGAGTAGGGGGACGGGAGGCGGAAGTTGGGGTGGCAGGTGAGGGTGGGGTTGGACAACCGGTTTTAGCAAGGGAGAAAGGGGTTGCTAGGGAGGATGAGGGGGTAAGGGTGGACCCGAAAAGGCGGAGAACGGATGGGGAGGTTGGGAGTGGGGTGGTGGCGGGGGTGAGTGTGGATTCAGACAACACATTCTCGGTGACACCGGAGGATGGGGGTCGTAGGGTAACCCGGGTTGATGTGGGGGTGGTGGGAGAGGAGGATATAACAATGGCGGATGTTCAAAAAAACTTGCAGATGGCGGGTGCTGCGGTGCAGACCCGCCCGACCCAATGAGTACATTGAGCTGGAACTGTCGTGGCTTGGGTAATCCACAGACAGTTCGAGAGATTGAGGACGTAGTGTCCCGTAAGAAACCCGACTTTGTATTTCTGATGGAAACCAAGGTTAACCGAGATCATGCAGAACGACTTCGGGTTAAGCTTGGGTTCGAAGGACTGTTTAATGTTGATAATGATGGATTAAGTGGGGGGTTGGCATTGTTATGGAGGACGAATAATACGGCTAGACTAATTGGTTATTCAAAAAATCATATTGATATTGAAGTGGATATACCAGGGTTTGATAGATGGATGATGACTGGATTCTATGGCTTCCCGAAACGACCACAAAGGAGAGAGCCATGGGATCTAATCCGTTCATTGGCAAGTAAGTCGGAACTGCCGTGGGTTATCATTGGAGATTTTAATGATCTCTTATTCCAGTGTGAGAAAAGAGGAGGGAACCCCCATCCAGATAGCTTACTACGGGGTTTTCGAGAGACTATTGAGGAGTGTGGTTTGACACAATTACCAATGTCTGGATATCCCTATACTTGGGAGAAGGGGAAAGGCACACCGAATTGGATAGAAGAACGGTTAGATAAGGTGCTGGCTACTCAGGCCTGGAGGGATTTGGTGGCTGATGCGAATGTTCAGAATATATTGACCCGAAAATCGGATCACTCTTTTCTTTTCCTTGGGATTCTCAATCTTCGGGAAAGACGGAGGGGTCTGGGAAGGGGTTTTCGGTTTGAGATGGCATGGCTACATGATGAAGGATGCAGAGATGTGGTGGAGAATTCGTGGGGTGAAGGAAGAAGTAGGGGACTACAGGAGTGTACCGCATTTTGTGGAAATCGGTTAACACGCTGGGGTGGAGACCGATTCCATAAATTTGGTGAAAAAATATTGACTCTACGGAAGGAACAGATGCGTCTAAGGGGATATACGGATCCAGTGTCTCTGGCTGAGTTTCGGAGATTAGATGAGTGCTTGACTCGTGTTGAATTGCAGGAGGATGCATACTGGAGGCAGAGGGCCAAACAGCATTGGCTCAAGGATGCGGACGCAAACACCAGGTTTTACCACAGGTATGCTTCTCATCGAAAGAAAAAGAATGCTATTACTAAAATTATGAATGATAATGGGGATTGGATAGAGGGGGATGCCATGAGGGATGTTATCTTGGATTATTACCGTGGAATATTTAGCTCAAGTTCTCCTACTGTTAATGATGATTTCTTTGAGAGTATACAACCGCGAGTAACTGATGTGCACAATGCGAGCCTATTACGCCCTTTTGAGGAGAGTGAGATTAAAGCGGCTTTGTTTTCAATGTATCCGGATAAAGCTCCGGGACCGGATGGGATGAACCCCGGGGTTTATAAGCATTTTTGGGATGTAGTGGGGTCTGATGTTTCTTCTTTTATCGTGAATTGCCTGAATAATTGCTCATTACCGGATAAATTGAATGAGACGAACATTATTTTGATCCCAAAAAAGAAGACCCCGGAAATGGTTTCTGACTATAGGCCAATTGCTCTGAGTAATGTCGTCTACAGAGTTATGGCGAAAGTTATTACGGCCAGGATGAAACCATTGATGGAGAATATTATATCTGAGACTCAGAGTGCGTTTATTTCTGAAAGACTTATTACAGATAATATCTTGATAGCTGCAGAAGTTGACCACTATTTAAACAGAAAGCAATGTGGACTAGCTGGCTGAGGGGCTTTGAAACTGGATATGGCAAAAGCCTACGATCGTGTGGAATGGTCGTTTTTGCAGGGGATGTTGAGGGCTCTAGGATTTGATAACAGATGGGTGGAATTATTGATGATGTGTGTAACCACTGTGTCGTATAGTGTATTGGTGAATGGTTCAAGGAGTGATCAAATAAACCCAGCTCGTGGTTTAAGACAAGGTGATCCTTTGTCGCCTTATTTATTCATTATTTGTGCGGAGGGCCTTTCAATATTATTGCAGCAAGCAGAGATGAAGGGAGAGATACATGGGTGTAGAGTGGCACCCTCCATTTCCCACTTGTTCTTTGCTGATGATAGTTTGCTATTTTTCAAAGCAAATGTACATGAAGCGGGGGTGGTTAAACGCTGCTTGACAAATTATGAAATGATGTCTGGTCAGGCGGTTAATTTTCACAAGTCAAGTATATGTTTTAGTAAGAATACAGACAGTGAAGTACGAGAGGAAATTGCTGGTATATTGGGAGTGGTGCAGGCTCAGAATTTTGGGAAGTATTTGGGGCTCCCATCACTTGTGGGCAGGAATAGACGAGAGGCATTTTCATATATTGAAGATAAGATAAGACAGAGGATTGGCTCGTGGAATAAGAAACTGTTATCACAGGCAGGGAAGGAGGTTTTTTTGAAAAGTGTGGCTCAGTCTATGCCTACCTTTTCAATGAGTGTGTTTCTACTGCCTATGAACCTGTGCACTGCCATTGAGAGAACTATGAATCGATACTGGTGGAGATCGAGGAATGATCAGGGTATTCATTGGAAAGCCTGGGACAAACTGTGTATTCCGAAGAAGTTTGGTAGATTGGGGTTTAAAGAGTTGAGGGCCTTTAATCTTGCAATGTTGGGTAAGCAAGCATGGCGCTTCCTGACACAGCCACAATCACTGGTTTCAAGAGTATATAAAGCCAGGTATTATCCAACTAATTCGTTCTATGAGGCACGCTTGGGAAATAACCCGAGTTTTTGTTGGCGGAGTATTTTGGCGGCTCAGGAATTAATTTATGGGGGAGTCAGGCGCAGGATTGGGAACGGCGAATCAACTTTGATTTGGGACCACCCGTGGTTACATGATGAGAACCAATCGAGGATTTTAACAGAAAAACCGCCCCAGTTGGCACAGGCAAAGGTGGTGGGTCTAATGGATCAGCAGACTGGAACCTGGGATCAGGATATTCTCACAGATATTTTCATGCCTCAGGATGTGGAGCAAATTTTAAAAATACCTGTGTCCCCTGATTATGAAGATATGTGGTACTGGTATGGAGATCCCAAAGGAGAATATTCTGTTAAAAATGGGTATAAAGCAGTGGTAGGCAATTATACCCAGCCAACAGGGACCTTTGATAGATGGAAAAAATTGTGGAGTTTAAGAGTCCCCCCAAAGTGGAAAACATTCTTATGGAGAGCTCTAAATGATATTTTACCCACCACGGAGAACTTGCTTATAAGGAGGGTAGATATTGAACCAACTTGTGCAATGTGTGGTGTTGGGCATGAGAATCTTGTGCATTCTTTAATCACATGTGATTATACGGCAAATATTTGGACACAATCTAACCTTCCAATCCCCATTAGTGTCACAAATATTTTCAGTGATTGGTTTAATGATTTGATGAACATTTTAGATGATGATGGGATTATTTATGCAGTGGCCCTTTTATATTACATATGGCGTGCAAGGAATGGAGCTGTATGGGAAGCACAGTTGCCCAGGCCCCGAAAAGTAGTAGCAATGGCGTTATCAGCCATGAATGCGTGGAAGGTAGTACATCCCGATCGTCGAAATCCGCCAACCAACTCCACGTCACCAGCTGCCCGAACCACGGCAATCACTGCTGTCCGGAATGTTGCGGCAGTAGACGACCCGAGACAGGAGGCCGAAACCATGGTGCCAGCGCTGCAATTGAATGCTTCGGGTATATTACACCGTGCTATGCAAGGCATGAGGGATCAATGCTATTTCGATGCGGCCTACGACCAATGAACGAACAAGGCAGCAGTGGGGGCTATTATTCTGAATTCGCAAGGAGGATACGTGTCGGCTATGACTGCTCCTATGATAGACTGTTTCTCGCCTCTAATGGCGGAGGCCTTCGCATGCAAGGAGGTTTTGTCATGGTTACGTGATCGAGGAATAAGCTCTATCGACCTCTACACAGATTGTTTGGTGCTCCAGCAATATTTATCGTCTACGACAAACTCGTCACGGTCTTACTTGGGCTATGCCATTGATAGTTGCAGAACTAGTTTATCATCTTTTGATTACTGTTTACTACATTATGTTCCTAGACTAGAAAATTATTTGGCTCATACATTAGCATCTACCGCTTTTAATCAGCTGACTAGTATGTATTCGGACTCTGATCCGCCGCACTCTATTTCTGCATATTTTGAATAAATGCCGAACAGGCTCCTTTCAAAAAAAAAATATAAAAATTACAATACCTCATTCACGCTCACCCCTACTAACTATCTGTGATTCATAACGCCAATTTAGTTATTTAGAATGTCTGGCCAATTTGTTCTTATTTCTCAGCTCAACCTAGATGCTACAAGGAAAGCAATCCATGTCCGGTCTTGGTCCGCACATATGTCGTCTCTAAAACAAAACAAAAACAAAAATCAAAGAATCAAAAAACAAAACAAAACGAAGATAGTTAAAAGTATAGATTGCTTATTCCACGATGAAGTGGTTAGTGTATAGTTATATACGAATTTTTATTATTGTATTTTTTGCTTGTGTGGTTGGTATGTAATATTTGATTTTTTACATATTAATATAGAGTATATTTATACATGCTCACATCTCAAAGGAACATGTACAGAGATATAATTCGAAGTTTAAAGATGGTAAGACTTATGGCATAAAAAACTTTCTGTGTATCACCAACTTCTTGAAATACAAAACGAGCTCTCATCAATGCATTCTCAAGTTTAAGCATGATACACTGGTTAAGGAGTATAAAAGAATTGATTTCCCTAACAAAGTATTTCGTGTAAAGTCGTTTTTCTCATTGCTACTAAAACATCATGTTAATGAGAAGGTTTTGATAGGTATGTAATGTGAACCAATAAAGATTTCTTTTTCGAATCAGCCCTGGTGTTGAATAACTCATTCAAGAATTTGTTTTGATCTAATCCGTACGAATCAATAGAAAAAGAAAATCTCTTATGATACACCAGATCCGACTCGGTTATTGATAGAGTAAATAGATCTGCCATTTCTTGCAATCTCTCTTCTGATTCAAAATCATGGTGTAACGCGTATCCTCCCCTGTTCCGTTCATGGAATCGGTGAAAGAAATAAAAAAATGGATTTTTGTTAAAGAATGAAATCTTATTGGAGGTTTTGATAGGTATGTAATGTGAATATTAGTTATTCAAATTTTCAGTTCATTTTATAGATAAGTAAACATGTTTTTTTTTAGATGTTATTAGAAGAGGCGTTGAGATATATTCTCCCTTGTAAAATATTTGAGGAATGAAATTGAAATTCCATGAAAAATAAATTATTAGGAAGATTAACTACATTGTTGGGTTGGTGGAAAAAAAATTACTAAAAATATTGATTCTATTGTTTAATTGAATTTGTAATTGTAAAGAATAATGAATACAAAGACCAATATACCCACACATAACAACAACAGCAACAACAACAATAATAATAATAATAAAGGTAATTAAAAAAGTTCTAGAGGACAAATAAATATACACATACACTCGCATTAGGGTGTATATAATCAAAATCAAAACTCTGAAACGCAATACGCTTTGATTTGATGTATATGAATATATATATATATATATATATATATATATATATATATATATATATGTGTGTGTGTGTGTGTGTGTGTGTGTGTGTGTGTGTGTGTGTGTGTGTGTGTGTGTGTGTGTGTGTGTGTGTGTGTGTGTGTGTGTGTGGTGTGTGTGTGTGTGTGTGTGTGTGTGTGTGTGTGTGTGTGTGTGTGTGTGTGTGTGTGTGTGTGTGTGTGTGTGTGTGGAGGAGGAGGAGTAGGGAGGGCTATTCTATTCTTTCGCAAACCGCGGATACTACCACTCACACCGCTGACTCTTGCAGAGGATAGGCTTACTCGTTCAAAAAAGATTCATGGGGGATCGAGATCGCCCCGTGTGGTTCATCCTAAGTAGCTAACCTAATATGCGCTTTTTTCTCTTGGAATCGTACCATCCATGGCGAAGAGAGACGAGAAGAATGATGAATTTGGATCGACGAGCTTTTTCGGCCCAAAAACTAAGAATCAGCTATTTCTATATCTGGGCTATATATAGAATCTAAGGAGAGAAACTTCTTTCTTTCCTCTAAATAAATATATCTCCTGCCGGCGCTAAAAGGGAGAGAGTCCTGAGATTAGTTCCAACGCCTGTGGATCCGGTCCCGGGTTCAACCATACTGTGAATTCTCAAATTCAGGGTAAAGAGGAGTGCCCCATGAGATGAGACCCGGAATAGAGCCTTTTGAGGAAGGATCTTGGCAATGGGGAAAGAGAGAGATGTGGAAGCCTTTTTGTCTCTTTCCCCCAATCGGTGGTACATCTCCTTTTCTGTCTAATCCCTATCCCGTAAGCCGGCCAGAGTTTGGTCTCCAGTCTTTATCTTTAGCCAATTCCAGTTCAATCGGGACAACAGTTTCTATCGGCATTGTCAGAAGATCACTTCGGATTCTCTTACCCTTTTAGGGTTTCATTCCATGTGTGTGTGTGTGTGTGTGTGTGTTTTCTTGAATGGAAAATGTTTTCCTTGAATTTGAGGAAAACTAGGGGGTCGTTTACCAACTTGGAAAATGGAGGATTTTCTAGAAAATGGAGAAATTGAGAAGTGGAAAAAATAAAAATTAGAGAAATTGTTTACTAACGTTTTTCTTCCAAATGCTTACTCCTTCTCCATTTTTCCACTTTATGTACAATTTTAGAGAAACTAAATTTAGATTTCTCCAAATGGAGGAAT